TTCCAAAGTGAATAAAGATGTGTTTTAATCCATAGGATTGGGAAAACCATGGCATTATATCAGACACAAGCAGCTACAGAAAGCTGCTGGTCAGTAAATGACAGCAAACATTTAGAACACATCAACTATTCCAGTGATCCACGCAGTCAGTCTTTATGCAGAAGTACAAAGGCATATATAAATAGACCTCTGTATGTCTACAGCAATCTTATCGTTCACATGAGAAGTTAGAGGAAAAAAGAAGGTTACAAACTTTGGTTTAAGTTGTTCCACAACAGTTTCTATGCTCCACCAGTTTTCAATTCTTTTGCTACTCACTCTTAGTATGAAGTCACATCACTACCAGCTGAGGCTACAATCGTCTGGTACAACTTCCTGGGCTGGATGCATCACTACTTTTAAAGAAAAGCTTGGGGGTTTTTGTTTGAGAGTTTCTGGCATCCGTCTAACTCTTGTAAAGCATTTTTGGTTTTCATGTAGCAGCAAGGCTGCTCTCTCCAACACAAGCACCTGCATAACGTACATCATGCCTAGATGTCAGCACACTTAAAACTCTTAAGAACGCATAACAAAAATAAAAGACCAGAAATCTCGGTGCGACAGTGCTGAAACAGACTCTCTTGCAAGGTTGTCATTTCAGCCATTCGAGTGAGTGCTCACTTGTTGAAATAAATGCTAGAAGGCGTAACTTCAACCTTCAACACATGGTATCAGTCGACACACCTTAGGTTTGTCGCTGTTATTTAATTTGGCATAAGCATCTTCATGAAGATACGCAGACAGGTGAAAGGCAGAGCTCCGACAACACGTGAGCACATCACCAGGGAGGCAGACCGCCCCTCTCCTCCGCCTCAGCTCGTGGACTTCCAGGTACCGCGGACAGAACAGCCGCCACGACCGACCAGTGAAGGAGCCCGCCCGCTCCCCCCGGGGCTCGCCGCGCCCGCCCGCTGTGGAGCGGCGCCCCCGGGGAGGCGGCACGGAGCGGGCGATCGCACCCGCCCGTTCCCACGGCAACCGCACCGCCCGCCCCCTCCCTCCTCCTCCCTCCCTCCCTCCCTCCCCGGCCACCGCCAGCCCCGAGCGAGGAACACCGAAAGGAAAGTGGAAGGCGCCGCCGGCGGAGGGGAGCTCGGCGGGGCTGGGCCGCCGCAGCTCCGCCGTTTCCACGGAAACTCCGGCGGGCGCGGGCAGCGTTCGCCACACAAAGGGGGCCAGCGGGCGGCAGGAAAATTCCCGGCGAGCGCGGGAGAAACGACGCGACGGGTCCGGGCGGCGGCGACCCAGCCCGGCGGCGAATAAGTCAGGGAACTTGTGTCCGCATCCCACGCCCCGCCGGCAGCTGCCGGCCCCTCGCCTCGCCGCTACAGCGCTCCGGGGGGCGGCTGGCTCCGGATGCCTTTTCCTCCGGGGGAGCACGGCAGGCGGAGGAGGGAGGGAGGGAGGCCCCGCACCTGAGGAGCGGCGCAGGTCGCCAGGGGAAGAGCACGTACCTGGCGCCGGCGGGCCTGGGCGCGGGTGCCGCGCTGCGAGCGGGCGGCGGCCGAGCCGCACCGGCTGCCACTACTTCGCACGCGGCGGGAGCGGGCGGGCGGCTCGGGCGGGGCCGCCAGGCTCCGCCCGCCGAGCGGCTCCACTCCGGCAACAGAGCGCCCCTCACCTCACCCCTCCCCTCCTTTTCCCTCCCCGCCGCCGCCACTATGTCACTTCCTCCCGGGGCTGCGGGAAGGTGCGACCCCTCGCCGCACCGGCGTCGCCCGACCTTCGGGGCGCTGCCTGAGCCGAGCGGGATAGCCCCCGGCGCCGCTCCGCGCCTCAGGAAGGGCGGCCGGCTCCGAGGAGGGAGTCGGAGCCGAGGGAGCGGCGGCCCGGTGGAAGGGGCGCAGAGCAGCGCCCGTCCCCCGAGGGCCGCCGGTGTCACGGCTGACCGCTCCTCATCCCTTACCGGGGCGGAGGTGGAGAGGGAACTGTCGCGCGGTGATGGGCACCTGTGACTATCTACCTCTTCCAAGTAGAAACCGGGCGACAAAAAACAACTCCACGGCTTGCGTGGAGAAAGATAAATGTCTGTGGCAGCCATCCAAGCGCCGAGTACCCTGACACACAAGAGTCACTCTATGTGACAGCGCAAACATTGGCTGTCAGGCTCTGACTGTGAAGTGAAAAGCGGCTTCCGTGAATAGAGAACAGATAGAACTGAGTCTATTAAATACCCAAAGCATGGGTGGCTGCAGCATAGGCAGTATTCTCACTATCAGAGCACTTTGGCAGGAGACCCGAACAGAGCAGTCACAGCACAGCACGGTTCCATCAACAGACCTAGACATGATGAAGCAATGAGTCAGTGTAAAGTTTGTACAAGGAATCCAGTCATGAGGAGCAGGAGACTGGGCCACAATATGGATCCATCTAGGAAGCAAAGTTGGAGATCAAACTGAAGGTATATCCATCTATTAGACAGTTCAGGCAGGGAGTAGACACCCAGACCTGAGCTCTAAATGGAGCCCTGGTCCATGGGTAACATGTAGGTGGGGGTCCCAGGTGAGGCTGCTCAGGGCTATTAAGACCTGACAGATTCCTGCTGGTGGGGTGGGTGAGCGTACTGTTCCAGAGCTCAAGATTTAGCCACCCTCTTCCCTTTTGGTCACGAAGGAGTTGAATCCAGCTCACTAACATTCTCAGGCAGTAGTCTAACTGCTGAACCATTACGTGGAAAGAGATTGTAAAGGGAATTTTTCCTGCCATGCTCTAAAAGTCTGACCCTCTGGCTCCATTTTAAAGAAAGGGATACGTCCTGGCATAGGGAGAAGACTTAAAATTGCTGAATGAGTTAATTATGGAGAATGACTGGGTTTGTAGCACAGCTATGTCCTAAGCATCCCCATCTAGCTACTTGAAGTAGTTTTGTGTTTTACATGTACAGATTCTTGGGGTATTATTCCAACGTATCTCACTCAGTGTCTAGGTATTAGCTCTAAGAACCAAAGGTCCAAAAGTCAGGCACCCTGATGCTGAGTGTGGTAGTGTCTCAATATCTTTTATCTGTCCTTGAGACCAAACTCTGGAGCTGGTTATTTGTATGTTCTGATTTTCTGTGAAGCCACAATAGAAATCTTTCTTCTCACTTACATTAGTGTTAAGCTGCAGCTGAATATAATTTTATGGATGCTTTACAGCTGAGAAAACTCTCCAGTGAAGAGATGAAGCCTAGTTTTGATACAGTACATCTATTTCTCAATAGTCTGAACAGGAAAATGTGAATAATAAATCCCTCTTATTTAACTAAAGTTTCTTCAAGTCTTGTTTTTGGCAGTTCCTTGTTCTGAGTGCTTGGTTTGCAACCTCAATGCAGTTTTTTTCTTGTTGCTTGTGGATATGCAAATATTTTATTTGTATTGGGCAGGACTCAAGAGTTTGAGTTAATGATACCTCCCAGCTATCCATCACTGTGTGAAATGGATAACTTTCAGTGAGTTTCCTTGTAAGAAATAAAAACACACAAAAGCCAGCCAATTCAAACTCCCCTATGCTTTGACGGGGCAAAGCATGCACTACAGTTGGTAAGGAGCCCAGTTATCTCTCATGGCTCAAGTGAAATTAACTGCTTGCTGGTTCTCACAGCTGAACCCCAACCCTGCTCACCATGTGCACTTTTAAATTACTTGTGAATTTGACTTCAGGAATTTTATTGCAGGCAAAAGCTTGTCTATCCTGGAAAGTTCTGTGGTTCTACTTATGCCAGCCTAGAGAAAAGAGGAAGCACCCCTGGTGTTGATGCTGCCAGATTGATAGGGTGGATACTAATACAGGGACACACTGTGATATCTTCTGTGAGCAGCTGGACTCAAAAAGTCCAGTTTGCTCTTGCTGCATGTCTTATGGTTAGATTCTCCAATATCTAATATGGTGTGGATTATAAAAGGCTCATTTCATGCATTCAAAGCATTCAGAATGGTCCTCTTCTGTGTAGGCTGAGTGTAATAAAGGCTGAACTGCAGGCTGTCCCTCCATGCAGGCAATAAACAGGAAGCCTTTCCTGTACTTGGCTTATCCATCTTTATGAAAACTGTGGGAAAGTAATTGTGTCTGAGATCTCTGCTGCTTTTTGAGGATTGATTAAAATCAGCTAACAAGGTCAGGAATTTTTATAAGGACTGTTGCATACAGCATGACTGCACAATTTTTTTTTCCTCTAGGAAACCAGATGAAAATATATGTCCAGAGGTTAATATACACTGACAGTTTATTTAAATACGGAAACAAAAAATGAAAGGTACTGATGCAATGCATTGTTGTAATGACAGAAATCCTATCATGGATGCAGGTGTATCAGCTTAAATAGGCCATTGGCAGAGTGGCATTGAAAATCACACTCATAGCCTGGTTAATAATTTTTCTGGGCCAGTTTTTCTAGGGTGGACTAACCCTAACTATGACACCTGCCATCTTCTCCCCTACTTCAGCTGTACAGTGGATCCACTGCTTTCATACAGAAAACCCCACTTCCTTGCACAGAAGCCACACAGTACCCACAAATGGAACCATCCTGTTAAAACTAAATCCCTGGGGCCACAGTTAATTTTAGGATAGACTCATTCTTTAATTGAATAGGCATTAGCAAAAGAACTACGTGAGATGCATTACAGAAATTAACATCCAGACTGTCCAATCTGACCCTTTACAAAGACTAGTACATACAGAAAGAATACTGGCTGAGATAACAAAAAACATATCTTTTAAAATATTTATTCTTTCAGCATGCTTTATTTTCTGCAACAAGTCCATGACTACTGATCAATTATGTTGCATTTATAATTTTTAAAGAATACTATTCCTTTAATAAATATCAAGGATCCTACCATGCAAAATGTTTTCCAAATTGCTCTCTGCAGAATTAGACCAAATATTTTCACATCTGCTGACATCCACAAAATAAATACTCCTTATACGCATGCAAATATTATTTCTACAGCTGGTTTAAGTATTCAACTTGAGCCTACCTATGAGGAGAAGAGGACCCTTTGTTTCTCTTTGCACACATATCTAATACAAATGCCAAAGTTTTGCTTTTCTTGTTTTCTTAAAGCTTGATTAAAATGAAGACTTCTGGGTGGACCACTTCAGGCTCAAACTTGGTGATGCAGGTGACTGGCTTCAGAAATACCTATATGTGCAGGTGGCAGAGCAGATATTTTAGACACACAGAAACAGAAATGCATTCACACACATTCACACACATACAAACACCTACCCTTTGGGAGGAGGAAATCTTGCAGCTCACATCAAACACAGTTCAGAGAGTGACTAAACAGTGAGGGCTTCAATGGCACCTTGGAAATGTAGAGATGCAACATCTGTTACTGGCATAGTCTTGGGTGTGCGTGGCTAAAATTCCTATAAGATCTTAGAGGAAAGATCACTTTAGAGCTGCAGAGGTAAGGGTTATTAAGAGGGCAATCGGGAAACTGCAAGATAACTTAGATAAGAAACTGCAAAAGAAAATCTTGGTCTGAACAACTTGGAAGCTGGAGTAGCACAGACCCTGTAAAAACAGATGCTGCTTATGCATAACTCTGTTTACATCACGTAAGCAGCCCTTTGGCTGCTCTCCAAGTCTTCAAGGGCAATACCTAATCTGCATGTGCAGTTACACAGATATTTACAGTTGGAAACAAATCTCACAATCAGTGAGATCTTTTTGCTTGTATACATATATATCACTCTTTCTGCTTGTATATGTACATTCCCTCACCTAGAAGAGGAAATAGCTGCGTTAGTATGATGAGGACAAGGGTGCTTTATATTGCAATAATGTGTGGAGATGAGCTATGTAAGCCTGCCATTTTGAACTTTTACAAACGTACGTAAAAAGGCAATCCCTGAAATAAGTTGTTCTGCTTGATGTAGCTCATTACGAACTCTGTAGCAGTGTCCTCACCCTGTGAATGGCTGCATCCTCACCCTGCCCAAAAAGATAGCAGCTTTAAGCCACATTTAAAGCATTAATTTTTATTCTACCAGTGAGCAGCTCTAGTTCCATTGACAAATTTCCACTGAAGTTAGTGTTTGATTATCTGTTTGTTCAGTCACACAGAATTGGAAAGGTAATTTAAAAAAAAAAAACTTCTAATTTTTTTCTAAGGCAAAATACTCATTCTTACACAATGCTTATTGAAGAACATGTGACCTGCTGCAGCTTCTGTCACTAACCTTGCACCACACTGTCCATACTGGAAACACGAGCCAGGACTCAACTCTCATCTTGATCAGCTGTAGCAGTCTCTATCCCGTGTTTTCCTATGTGCTGCTTTTGTAAAAACAGCTGTATCTGATGGGATAAAGGGAGCTGTCTATTTCCCAAGAAAATTATGGGATAAACCCTGGTTTGGGTGCTAGGATATAATTACTATGCAACAGTCTTTATATAGTGGGTATTTGTATTGGTTTTTGCCTTGGGCTGTCAAATATCTGTGATACGACTGAAAAAATACAGTACACTTTACATTTAGACTGATTTATCACACTAAATAGAGCAAATCTGTGTCCTGTGTGAAAAGCATGTAGAACACTATATTTCCTCTAATTTCTTCCCGTTGACCTTTCTTCCCCACTGAAGCACTGGTTTTAGGGAACCTACATATTTCCAATGTCACAATAGGAGACAAGTCTTAGTTCTTCGTTTTCTATGGTTTGGCCTGATCTTGATCCCAGTGGCATTTCATTGATTTCAGTGGATGCAGACACAGCTCCAAAACTGTCTATTGAATAAGGACACTGTATCAAGAAAATTACTAACTTCCAATGAAAATGAAAATAGTTCTTGAATGTAAAACTCTTAAGTGAGCATGAAAACCTTAAAACAGAAGTGTTTTTACGTAAAATAGCTGAAAATCTCATGAAGATACCTGATCATCCCTGGGCAGCAGTTGTTGGCTATTTCAAACACCACAATGCTCTTCAGGCAGTATGCAATGAAAAGAAGAGTGATGTTATACTTTCAGAAGTGAGATTGCCCCATTGTGAAAGATTTTCTGTGTGCCTTGCTGGCATCTACTAATTATTTACCTGTGAATCCTAACCATGGTATTTTATACAAGTTTGGTTCCAGTTCTGTATCGTGCCCTGCTGTCCTGCAGCCTGTCCACCGGGCAAAGGTTGAAAGGATTTGCCAGAGATGTAAGAAAGGCATGTAATCCAGGGATACATTTTGGTAGGAGCAAACTAGGTGATAATGCCACACCTTTACCCTTTCCAAAACAGTGCCAGCCACTGTGCCATGGCCGAGCCTCTCCATAATCACTATCAGACACAAAAGATCAGGCCATTTCTGTGAGAGCTTGCTTTTGCCTCCAGCTGCTCCTCTGTGATGTCTGTACTCTTGTCCACCTCAGTCCTGAGTGTGACCGCCAGCACAAATCACAGCAGCCCCCAGTACTATGAGGGCCCTGATTCTCTGTGTGCTCTAGAAATCAGCCTGTCCATCACAGAATCATAGAATGGTTTGAGTTGAAAGGGACCTTTAGGATCATCCAGTTCCAGCCCCCCTGCCATAAGCAGGGACACCTTCCACTAGACCAAGTTGCTCAAAGCCCCATCCAACCTGGCCTTTAACATTTCCAGGGATGGGGCATGCATAGCTTCTCTGGGCAACCAGTTCCAGTGCCTCACTACCCTCTGAGTAAGGAATTTCTTCCTAATGTCTAAGCTAAACCTACCCTCTTTCAGCTCAAGGCCATTCCCCCTTGTCCTATCACTACATGCTGTTTTAAAAAGTCCCTCCCCATCTCGTGAAGTCTCCCTGGATCCTTCTCTTCTGCAGGCTGAACAAACCCAGCTCTCTCAGCCTGTCTTCATAGAAGAGGTGCTCCAGCCCTCTGTTCATCTCAGTAGACCTCCTCTGGACTTGCTCCAACAGGTCCACATCATTCCTATGTTGAGACACCAGAGCTGGATGCAGTACTCCAGGTGAGGTCTCATGAGAGTGGAGTAGAAAACCTGCTGGCCATGCTTCTTTGCATGCAGCCCAGGATCCATCTTGGCTTCATGGCACAAGCTGCCCCATGGTATCTTCTTCCCTTCTATTCTTCGATTCTGTGAAAAGCAAGCCTGGGTGCAGGGAGATAGCTAGGGATATGACAACAGCATGGAGCTAGTTAGCAGTCTGAATCCAGCAAAAGATGGTGGAAAATCAAAGTCTGTTTATTCAGACAACTCCTTTGTGGTCTATGTGAAAATGCAATTGTGAATTTGCAATTGCAATCCACTTCCTTTGGAAAAATCACTGCAGTAGACAGTAATTAGCAACCTCTTACAAACCATTGGCAGGCTGTCCTGAAAACAATCCTCAAGTTCCTTGAGTGTTGCATTGGCTGAAACTGCTGGGTCCCTTGTCACCAATTTAATACAAACCTGAAGCAAACGCCCTGCTCCAAATACCTCTCCAGTAGGAAGCTATGCTAAGTAACCTTATGGCTAAATGCCCGAATGGCTCAGCTAGAAACTGAGCAATACTCCCATTTGGTCCTGGAGGGATGAACCTCCAGGAGATGACCACCTAAACCTGGTATTAAGATACTAAGGTGGCACTTTAGAACAGTTGCTAAGTGAGACCTTATCAGAGGGCTGCCTGCTTCACAAGTCCCTCATGAAAAAACTCTCAGATACAATACATATAGTGGACTGTTTTCTGAGAAAGACCAACTTTAGAGCTCAGCATCAGAATTGCTTAACTAGGCATGTATTTGTTTTAGAAGAAGGCATAAAACCTCAACAATGTCGTTTTATAGAAGTACCAAAGCTGAGTGCAGTACATGTCAGATAATTTTTGTGCCATGTGTTAAAAACTCATGCACTAAAGGAGATGGATTGCTGTTAGAAGGCATCTCTTCCTTGGCAGGGAATCTTCAGTGTCTTCCTACTGTCATTTGTCACAGGAGTTGAGGTGCCCCGACCTCAATCCACTAATGTTAGCAAAGAAAGGCTTGTGCACACACACAGCCTGGTGAGCCCATATCCTTACCAGATCTTGAGCTCAGCCACAGCTGTTTGAAGCAGGTTTAGCACAACCATTCTCAGAGTGATTTGACAGTATTTTATTTGTATGCTCACTTCCATGCTAGCAGTATGTTATTAATCCTACAAACTACACTAATTAATATTTTTTCCCCAATCTGAATATCATAGCTAATATAATTTCTTACTCATCAACTCCCAGATGGCTAACAAATCAGTGGTCCTGGAAACCACTGTCAGTCAGTCACCTGGCAATTCAGCTACAAGACAGTCTATGTAAGCATTCCGAATCTACTGCTTTTCACGCCTTTTTTGAATCAATGTAAACAACAAACCCTGCTGCCTCCTAGGCATGGTATCCCTAATGGTAGCATGAATCAGAATTGGCTACACCAACTGCAGTAACTCGACAGCACTGAGCAATCCCATTTCATTAATAAGAGCATCTCATCAACAGCTGCTCCTTGGAGACAAAGGGCTGCAGCTGGTTCCCTAAGCATTTCTTTTTGCCACCCCCAGTGACTTGCAGCATTTGAGACATGTGACCTCGTAGTCTGAGTTTGTTTATACACTGGAAATGCCTCTTATGTCCTGATGTCTTATTTTCCTGTCCCTTTTTCTTCACAAGGGGAATCACAAACAAACAAATAAATAAATAAATAAAATTGGGGTTTTTTTCAACAAAGACAGAATGCCAAAACCCATGGCTGAAAAATCTCCACCTCATACTAGCACTGTTCCAAGACCTACATCAGGCAGTGTGATATCATCATGACAACTGTTTAAAAAGTCTTTTGCCAGAGGGAAAGTTTTCTACCTGGCAGGTAGGAAATGCTTTTCTTCTATCTTATTTCAAATACCTTATTTAGGCAAAGAAATTAACTCTAAAACCAAATCCGATGCATTTGCATGGGTCAAATAATTGCAATCCTAAGTGGACCCTCCCTCCTGCAATGAGCTGTGCCTGGAGGACTTTCCACAAATCCACTTGAAATTATTAAAGCCTCTACAAAGGCAAGGGTTTTTGCCAACGCTCAGTTTAGTGCAGTGTAAGGATCTTGCAGTCAGTGTTACATTCACTTACCAAGACACATGGACTTTCAAATAGCAATTCCCTGCATGTTCAGGAATCTCCATCATGTGAAAAAAACCCAAGTGATGTTTGCACAAGCTCATGGTATAGGCTTCTGCACAGAGTGGTATGCTTCATCCAACAGCCAAAAGCAGCTCCTGGGCTCCTGTGCTGAATCACTGTGTATCACAACTGGAGGAGTCCAGCTGCTTCCGTAGCATTTTGTCGATTTTGCCATTGAGTTTCAGCTCTTCTGTTAATGGAATAGGACCTTGTGGAAACATGATGCATCTCTGAGAGTAACTTGCCCGTTGACTGTGGCTGTTACAACACTACAGTTCACAGAAGTGAGGTAGGAGGGAGGAAATACCAGCCATCTGGATCACGACACCTTAAGAGTGTGAACAGTCTTCTGCTATAATGCTAGACAATATGAAGCACAATAAGGCTTTGTAAGAACAGCTAAAATATTGCTAATACTATTCCACAGCTAAATGGGGGCAACAAATGACAGGCTTCGATAGCAGAAGTTGTTTAATTTTATAGACAAACTATTTTATTCTAAATATTTTGGGGAATCCAAAGGCCATTTCTGAATTAGGAAATGAAGGCAAACAAATAGACCAGATGCCTTTTCTGACAAGAAAGTAGTTCTGGAAAACCTTCTTGGTCAATTTTTTTTACTTAAAAGCAATTCAAGTTTGTTTCTCCTTTTCCTTTTAGTTTCCTGTATCCTAAAATTGTGCCTAGAAGCTGGTTATTAAGAGTATTTTTGGAAGCATGACCATCATTATTTTTAAAGTAATTTAAAGAAAATGCTTTGAATGCTAGCAGAAAATAGGAGCCAGCACAATAATGGCAGAGGCAGTGAGTTACCAGGGAGCAAATGCTAATGAGCGAAAACACAATAGGCTAAAACTTCCCTGAATTCAAATATCAGTGATGATTACCTTACACTACCACATCTGGCACTCAAGGTGATAAAAATAGAATTATTAAGAAGATCCCTAAGTATTTATGGACCAATTGATTGCATTGTCTTAATTAAACAAGAGCAGAATTCTTTAATGTTATGTTCAGCTCACTACCTGAATGACTGCAAATCACTTTTGGGAAGGTTGTGGCAGCTCCTTGGGGGATGACTTGGGGCAGGTGGGAATGGGATGGACCTGCAGCTCTGTAGAGAGGAAGCTTTGGACTGGCCTGACATGCATCTGTTCAGTATAGAGTGTAGGGAACCTTGCCTTCTGGTGGCTGAATATTTATCAGGCCATGAGCTTCCATGACACTAGATACTGGTTTACACTAGAGGAGAGTGTGGCCTTTTAACTGTGCCTTTGCCATTGTAGCTGGGGAGCCTTTCAGCAGACAGACTCTGGCAAATCTCACAGGGGTATTTTCAAAGGTTATTGGTCTCATAGCTGTCCTTCCTACCCTCTTGGGTTATTAATCCTATAGAAAACAAAGGAGCAACATGTGCCTGTGTCTTAACTGCTCCAAGGCATAGGACAAATTTTCAACAAAATCACCCCTGAAGGTGATCTATGCTAACTGTTCATTGGAATAAGGCAAGTAACAGAAGAAGGGCAGACAGGCATGGAAGTGTCTTCAGCCACTTCAGCAAAATTCTTCAGAGGATGTTTGCCAAGGTCCTTGCTGACATCGGATCTATGCAGAAAGGTATGGAAGGTACAGTGACTGACTTCCCACAGTTAACTCTTCTCCTAAGGAGAGGGCACAGATGTGCAACAGATCTTGAAATGAGTCTGAGTAACAAAATGGGGGTACAGCGTGACATTTCAGACTTTGTAGAACTATTAAGCGCTTTAATGCACTGTTTCAGTGTGGATTGATATGCTACACACACCCATAAACAGCAAAAAGTATATTGCAAAGTCAACCATTCAAAGATGGAAATGGCAGAATTAAAACGGCCTTTACAGATTTACTGCCTCATCTATGGGTCTTCATATGTTATGTAGGTTTCAGTTTATATGGCTGTCCAGTCCTTTTTCCACAGACACTGTCCCATGTTCAGGGCAAAGACCAAACAAGCCTCATTTAATGAGGAGTTATTTAAAACTGTTTTATCATCCTCGTGCAATATTTGTGGCAGCAAGACAAGCTAGTATTTACTGCGTGTTGTTTAAACCCTCATGGGCGTTTCTAATGGTACTGACTGTGATAGCGTTCAAGTCTCTTTTCACAACTTACCCGTGAATAGAGGCCCGGGGTATGAGTCTGATCCTGCCATTGTTACCATAAGTGGCAAGTAACTTCCTTCATGATTACTGGTACTGTTCTTCAGAAAAAGGAAAGAGAATTTAGGCCTTATTTACAGTCAGCACATTTGTGCTTCTTCTAAATGCCCCCCCCCCCATTCTCCTCCCTTGCACAAAAAAGTGTGTAGGAACATGATAGTCATCATCTGGAATGAGTTAGGTTCTAACCAGAGAGATGTAGAATGAACTTAATATCAAGTTCAAGCAGAAGGAATCTGGATTGTCAGTGAGAGAGGGGTGTGTCATTAAGTCCAGATATTGTTCTGCAAGTGCAGTTTTTCCATTACCTTTTGTACAGTGTCTAGTCACATAAATCTTAGTGTGCAGCTTCTTTCAGTCGTAATGCCCAGCACTCCTGACTGGCAGAGAATGAAGTATACAGAGGCAGCCTGAACAGCAGCAGAGGAAAGATGATAAAACTGTTTTATCATCCTACTTAACAGCTTCCTCTCTGCTGTAATACAGGACATTTGATAACCCAGCCATTTGTGTGTACAGGGTCAAAACATTGTCCCTTAGATATAATAGCTAGTAGTGTTATTAGTGAAAACTACAGAGTCCAGATCTAAGAGATTTTGACAGGAAAAAGAAAAAGCATGCATAATACTTTCCTTTATAGCAAAGCTCTTCCAATGATTTACAACCCGAGACAATTCTCAGCTTTCAAACTGAAATTTCCTCCCACTGCTCACTCTTCAAGACTCAGTTCTTGGTGAAATTACAATGTGCTTGTTTTGTTTATTTAAGGTAATAAGAAGCTAAAACCTAAGCAAAAGTATCTACTAGGGTTGGTTTGTTTGCTTTTTTTTTTTTTAATGCTATTAAATGAAAAATACGGAATAATATTTGGAGCAACTCTTGCTCCTCAGTAATTTAGAAGGAGATATTTTGTCACAATAATTCCGCCAGAGGTTTCTGCAAATACACATTAATGCATTTTGCTCGAGCCATTGCAAGTCATCAGATGAAGGTCAGAATGCAAATTCCAATGTTCTTAATTTCCCATGTTGGTTGACGTGTTTATAAAAATGTTCATTGTTGATGCAAAGACATCAACTCTGTTGATTCAAAGAATGAATTATGACTGAAGTGTTATTCCTGTACTTGTAGTAGTTCAGCAGGCGTCTGGTACCACCATTTATGAACTTTGCAATTCAAGATTCACAATGACTGTAACTAGGAAGTACCACAGAGAAAAAGTTGTACATAAAAAGCTTACTTTTCCTTTCTCACTAAAGTAGGACATGATTGAACTGTACACGATCTATAGCTATATGAGAAGATTTTAATATTATTGTGTTTGCTCTCAGAGTATGGAAGTCTTAAGGTGTCCAGAAACATTAAAGCCTGTTTTGGAGAAATGGCTTATGATAAGCCATTGCTGTCTGCAAAGTGGGTGCACTGAAGCCACTTACATGGTGGGGCTGCCATTTGCTAAAATGTTGTATATATTTTAAAATAATTTCCTGACCAGTGAAGAAGTGGTTTGGTTTGGTTTGGTTTTCTTTCTGGGAAAAAAAAATAAAAAGAATCCTGTAAAAGCATTTAGGAGGCTTTTTTTATTCCTTCCTATCATGTGGTGGGTGAGCAATTGGCTCACAGGTGGAGCACAGAGGGTAACAGTGAATGGGGTGACATCAGCTGGGTGACTTGTCACCAGTGGGGTTCCACAGGGCTCCATCTTAGGCCCTGTGCTCTTCAACATCTTCATAAATTACTTGAACACAGGACTGGAAGGGATACTAAGCAAGTTTGCAGATGATACAAAACTGGGAGGAGCTGTTGACTCCCTCAAAGGCAGGGAGGCCCTGCAGAGACACCTCAACAAATTATAGCACTGGGCAATCACCAACCACATGAAATTCAACAAGTGAAAGTGCTGGATTCTGCACCTGGAATGGGGCAACCCTGGGCATACAGATGGACTGGGGAATGAGATGCTGGAAAGCAGTGCCATGGAAAGGGACCTGGGGGTCCTGGTTGATGGCAGGTTGAATATGAGTCAACAATACCCTGGCAGCCAGGAGGACCAACCCTGTCCTCGGGGGCATCAGGCAAAGCACCTAAATAGGATAATACATGGATGTGATTATGTGGCAGTATTTCAAACACTGGCACTTACTGATAAAAAGCTGTTGCAATCCCCTCTGGAAACTCTTTCTATTCCCTCCTTGCTGATAAATGGGCCCAGCCTCGAATCTGTCAGACTGAAGATCACTGAAAGCCACCTTTATGCTTTTCCTTCTCTCATCTCTCCCCTGTTACATACTTTGAAGCGGCATGGAGTGAGAAAGTTGATTCTATAATCCATGTATCACTGGGCTAGTGCCAGTACAGAAAACAGTTTGACTGTAGTCAGCTGTGCCTTGAATGTTCTCCCTGGTGAGCTGGGAGGTGTGGCTGCCTGTGTCCTGGTGATACTCAAATAGTAGCTAATGCAGGCAGGCTGCTGCTGGTGTTGTCCCACCAACTCAAGATATTTAACAGACATATCCCAGTTAGGAGTGTGGTTGCTTCAAATTTCATCTTTAGTCAAGACAGAAACAGACATACACTTGGTGAAAATGATTCAGATAATTTCTATCATTTTCATCACTGATGTGTTTTAATTAATGCCAACCTTATTCTCCCCATGAGACAGAGTCAGTAGAAACATCACTCCATAACACCACAGGACAAGGCCCAGCTTTTGGGCTGAATCCACCAAACTTCTTCGTACTTCCTGTACAGCCCCAAAAGAGGCAGTGGGGTGGGTGTACAATAATCCATTTATCACAGCCACCTATCCAAATTTATGCAATAATTTTCCCCTTAAGGTAATAGGGAACTTCTGATCTCAATTTATAGCAGAAATTAAGACTGGGCAGGAATGCTTAATGCTTTGTGTAACCATCATTTAATGACAAAATGAGTCTATTTAGCTTCCTTAGCTTCATCTCTCTGACTTTACTTCACACTCCCCAGTATCTCAGTGAGAATTTCATGTAGCTATCTGGGTTTTGGCCTACCTTCCTTGCTGTCCCCATTTGTCTCTGTGCAGCTGTCTGTCAGTCCTCCCACAGAAGCTTTTCAAAGTTAGGCAATTTCAACCAGGTTTTGCCAGGTCAAAGAGATCTCAAAGGTACCAAATTTATAAAAGTACAGAAAACCTGTTAATATTCTCACTGAGGAAGAAAAGTCTTAATAATTAGTTCAACCCTTATTAGGCATCCGAGCTGTAAGGGACCCAAGGCGGGAGGTGATGCAAGGTGCCATGACCACATGTGTAGCAGTATCCTCTACCAGCCAGTGTAAAGCAAACTCTTTGTTCTGGATCTGGCTGGTACAGACCTAGTTTTCCTCACAGCAGCCAGTATGGTGCTGTATTTTGGATTTGGGACTAAAACAGTGTTGATGACACACAAGTGTTTTAGCTTACGCTGAACAGAGCTTGCACAGCATTGAGGCTTTCTGTTTTTCCCACTCTTTCTATTTTTCCCTGTGAGTAGGTCAGGGGTGGGCAGGAGGCTGGGAGGAGACACAGCTAGGGTAGTTGGCCTGAATTGACCAAGTCAGTATTCCAAGCCATTTAACATCATGCCCATCAATAAAACCTGGGAGGTTGTCTTTCTAAAGTAGGCATTGCTCAGAGACTGGCTGAGCATCCATCTGCTTGTGGGAGGTGGTGAGTGATTGCTTTTGTATCGCTATTATTACTTTTTTTCATACCTTCAGTTATTAAACTGTCTTTATCTTGACACATGAGCGTTTTTTCTTGCTTTTTCTCTTCCTACTCTCTCCCTCATCCTGCTGGGTGTGGGATCGAGCATTCGGGTGGGTATTTAATTGCTGGACAGGGTCAACATTACTCTACATCTACGTGATTTCTACCAATAGCAGTATACATAAACCTCAGTGGATAAAGAACTGAAACATGTTTGGCAAACAATTAAATAAGTTGCAACACTGGAGGTATTCAAATCCAGATTCATTGAACGTAGCAGATTTATAGTACTCTAAAGTAGTAAAAAAAAATGTTCTTGTAGCATGTGGAAAAAACATTTTTAACAGAATACAAATATATGTAGGGGTGATTACCAAAGGATGCTTACTAGCTCACTTTGCAGTAACTTGTCTGTATCCTGAGATGCACAGCAGCAGCCATCTAGAACTGTATAAATGCAGAAACTAAGAAAAATTTAGTCAGAAAGAAAGGGTAAACACCTCATAAATCAGAAGAGCATCATTTGGAAACGAGGTGAAGAAGCTTTTGGGTGAGACAGACAGTTGTAGGATGATTATGAATTGCTAGCATGACATCTCTGCGAACAGTGTGTTGTGATCTGGGACGGTCAGGAGTGGTTCCACTAGAAACATGGAGGCATGAACGCTGCAGAAGGCAGTGGAGCAACCACGCCTGCCATCGTATGCCAAAGTCCATCACTTATTCTTGATTCTAGGATGTTTAGAGAAATGTTTATTCAAGCTTTTAACCTTGACCTATTAAGCCTAATAAAACAAGTGAAGTGGAA